CAGACGGAGACACCGAGGGCCCCAGAGGGCCACGAGCTCACCCGGGACCCCGTGGCAGCGGGCCCTCCTCTCCCCTCCTCTCCCCTGACCGCCTGCGGGCATTTCTTTTTGGCACAAAATCCGAGTCCCGCACCCATCCCTTCAGCGCCTGCCGTGTGCCAGGCCAGGTGCTCAGCACCCGGGCGGGGAAACGGGGATGGACGCAGACCCGGGACAGGTGCTGGGGGCAGTCGGTCCAGGTGGCCGCGGGAACGCGGCGCGACGGGGTGGCCAGGCTCCTGGGAGCGGGCGAGGCCGCGCCCTGCAGAAGAGTGGGCGCCACCCTGCGAGGGGGTGAGAAGGGGGCAGCTGCTCCGGGAGGTGGCCCAGGAGCAGTGCAGGTTAGAGCAGCGGCCTCCCAGGGGCCCTGGTCCCTCCCTGGGCCAGGCCAGGGTGGACCTGGAGAGGCGGTCTGGACCGGCTTTCACTCTGCTGCTCTCCCCCCTTCAGCATCTGTAAAGTGACTCACTTCAGGTATTTTCCTACACTCCACCCTTGTTCCCCCTGCGTAAAATCTTGGGCGAAGACGCCGATTTTATTACATACATGAATGTGTTAGCCAGGGCACCTGCTATTTTTCCAGCTGTAACTGGACTGCCCTGCGACTCCAGGTCGAGAAAAACCGGATTCTTTAAACCCTGATGTGAGAACCTGCTCGGTCTCCTCTGCATAACACAGTGAGGTTGCAGGTCACGGCCTCATGGGCAGAAGAGATTCCCTGGCACCACATAAGTCACTTCCTCTCGCCAAGCCTCAGTTTCCTTTTCTGTAAGAACGGTGTCCGAGATTGGCAGGTATGAGCAGGGCCAGCAGTAGGCACCCTTCTCAGCCACTCGCAGACCCGTAGGGGTGTGGCTTTGATTCTGGGTGCTGGGGAAGGGCTGTCCTCACAGCCCCACCTGCACAGGGCTTGTTCACAGACAAAGGTGCTGGTGGCGAAGGCCAGGTTCGTGCCCATTGCTCCTTGCTGGCAGCCACCAGCAAACCCAAGGGCTGCCTGCAGGGTAAGCCTCCCACCACCATCACCACGAGCACTCACACCTTCTCCCATCCAGCAGAACTTTATGGAGGGCCTACTGTGTGCCTGGTACCAAGAGGAGGTGCCAATCAGTGGGGAAGTTGGGGGGAGGGGCTGTCTGCCTCCGACCTTCTGAGATCATGAGCCAGTGACTCCCTTTTTGTGCCTGTTTCCCTGTCTTTAAATGGGCCTCAGTAGCAGTGCCCTTGTGTAGGGCTGCGGGAGGCTGAGTGACTTGGACAGGTAAGGTCCTTAGAACAGAGGCTGCAAGCCCTTGCCAGTGTGGCTCAGTTGGTTGAGCATTGTCTCATGCACTGAAAGGTCACCTGTTTGATTCCTGGTCAGGGCACACGCCCAGGTTGTGGGTTTGGCCCCCAGTAATGGGAAGGAACTGATTGAGGTTTCTCTATCACATCAATGTTTATCTCTCTCTTTCTTCTCCCCTTTCTCTAAAATCAATAAAAACATATTTAAAAACAAAAGGAACAGAGGCTGCAGTAGTGCCAGCTAAGATCACACCCACCTTTAGCCCTTGGTCCTGCCTTGCTGTCCCACACCCAACAGTAGCACCCAGGTGGGCCACCGAGAGCAGCCCGGCTCTTGTACTCAGTGTAAGGACTGGAACGCTCTGTGGTTACTGAAGAAAGGAAAATATGTCTGATTTATTTGGTGCATTTTTCTGTTTCACACGCGTCCCCCGGGGCTCATTTAACACCAAACTGACGGCAGGAAGGCCCGGGCCTTCTCGGTGATGCGTGTTATTACAGTGTGCCTTGTACCCATGAGCTGCTCACATGCAGAGATGTGTGTGGTCGGTGAATGTGAATGCACGCTGCATATGCAGGCGTGTGGCGATTGTCCTCCCCAGTTGGTGACAGACGGCATCGTGTTGGTGATTGTCACATGCCTCATATGGACATGGGAGGAATCTGTGGAAGGGGTACTGGGGGCAGGTGTCACTTGAGAGATTGGGATGTAACTCCAGAGAGGGGAGGGGCCCTGCCCCAGGCACAGTGTTAGCCCCGAAGCTCCCCTCCCCACCAGGGCCTCCCCTTTCTCATTCTGAAAGTCCTGCCCAGCACATGGTAGGTCTCCACTTTGATGACAGCATTCCTGGCACAACCTGTCCTAGGTGTTTGTGTGACGTATGGTTGTATGCACGGGTCTGCGGTACCCTTACATAAGATGAGGGCACATTTCGCTTTTTTCTAACTTCAGAGGAAATGTTTCATAAGGTCTTTGCCCTGCATACTATTCAGCACGTTTGTGTAGCATTTACAGCTTGTCCCAGAAGTACAGTGTTTCACTGACAGTGGCCTTCTCTGTGCCTCTCGGGGGCCCAGGACTAATGAGGGCCCGACGTCCAGTGCCCTCCCCGTCTCCCCCACTGGGCAGGTTCTGCAGCAGCCTGCTGCCGTCTGGGTACCTGAAGGGATGTGCTCTCTCCATTCCTGGTGGGGCTTCACTCCCGCATTGTGCACAGAGAGCCAGGCATTTCATGGTGTGAACAGAGTTCCCCCTCCTCCCACAGATCCTACAGGAGTCCGAGTGCTGAGCTTGTGTAAGATGCTTAGCTGTCCGTGATTTTCCGTGAGCCCCACTTTCTCTGCTCTCCCCTGTTTTCCTGCAGGAAACAGCCCTTTGTCCCTGAATGACCCAAAGACGGGGCTCAGGCCTGGGAAGCCAGGCTTTATGAGGGCCTGGCATGTGGCAGGGCTGGTGGCCTGGAGCTGTGACCACTGAGGATGGCCAGTGGAGCACCCAGACACCCAGGCCCGCTGAGCCACCCCAAGGTCCTGCTTGCATTTCGCTCAATAAGCCTGCTGACTGTAGCCTGAGCTTCCTCTGCCTTCTTTCCCTTTGGCAGGCGAGTGCAGAATGTCCACACGGGCCTCGACCTGGCCGTGCCGCAGCACCAGGAGGTGCGGGGCAAGATGATGTCCGGCCATGTGGAGTACCAGATCCTGGTGGTCACCCGGCTGGCTGCGTTCAAGGCAGCCAAGCACAGGCCTGAGGATGTCGTCCAGTTCCTGGTGAGCTGGGGGCCCTGCCAGGATGCTCCCAAGGGTGCCCAGGGTCCAGGTGCGCAGACACACCTGCCGCCAGGGTATAAGTAGCATCAGGGAGCGGGCACTTTTTTTTTTTTTTTTAATATATCTTTATTGATTTCAGAGAGGAAAGGAGAGAGAGAAAGAGAGATAGAAACATCAATGATGAGAGAGTCATTGATCGGCTGCCTGCTGCTTGCCCCTGACTGGGGATCACGCCCGCAACCCAGTCATGTGCCCTGACTGGGAATTGAACCCCGAATTCCTGGATCCTAGGTTGACACTCAACTGCTGAGCCACGCCCGGCCGGGCAAGCGGGCACTTCTGTAGCCAAGGCTCACTTCTGTAGCCACGGTCTTGCTCTGAGGACCAAGTAGAAGAGACACCAGATCCTAAGAGAGAAAACATTATGTCACAAATCTTTTGTTAAAGGACATTTAGCACATCATGGAAAGCCCCTAAAAGAGCCTGGTATTTTTATTTGCTTCTTGAACTGACTCTTGGTGAGAACCACGGTGTAACGTCAGCCATGGTTCTGGTCTGCTTTGCCCTGTGGGGCGGTTTGCAGCCCCTGGTGATCTGACTTGACCCAAGGTGAGCTTAACTCAGCCACACCTTCAGGGTCAGGAACAGAGGAGGGCAGATATCTAAGATCAAAGTCCCTGGGCATCATGGAGAGGCAGGTTCTGGGAGCCCTGAGGAGCACCCGGCCTGCCTGCTGGGTCCTGTGGAGAGGGCCGGCCTCACATGCGAGCATGTGCATGCGGACGTCTTTAGTACGTCCACCCATCACCCCCATGCCACTGTCTCCTGGTCAGTGACACCTGCCCCCTGCGGGGTATGCGTGTGGGTGCACGGGTGAGGGCAAAGGAGAATGTGTTTACTTCCCATGAGATCTAGGAATCTCTAAAGTTTCATGATTTAGCTAAAAAAAAAAAAAAGAAAAAGAAAATGAGCATTTTGCAACTTACTCCCCAAAAGGACGTAGGTGTTTTAGTATAAAAATGAATTTAATGGATTAAACCAGCCTCTGGGAAGGGTACTGTATTTGCTTGTGGTTTATCAGACACCCCTACCTCTGCTGGACACACACACGCACTGATGTCAGAAGGATGTGGGCAGTGATCCTTCTGCCTGGCTCACCCGGGCATCAGTAAACAGTTCCCTCCTTGGTTCCTGGTGCCTCTAGTCCCAGAACTCAGGTCCTAGGGTGTCTATGGGCCAGGCCTGCATGGAGCGATCAGGCCAGCAGAGGGCACTCGGCCCCCACCTGGCCTGCGCTGCCGGGTGGGGTTCTGCCATGGAGTTTTGAGGTCCTCTGGAGTGGGAACCTGCATCACTTCTGTGTAAGGGTCCTCTTCTTTTCCATGCGGGCTGTTCTCATGGAAGCTCCGGAGCAGGCCACTGTCTCCTGTTCCAGATCATTCCCCACGCCGGTTCCTGAGGTCTCCCAGTGTCCCAGCCACCCGCTGACATCTGGACCCCTCCGGTTGGGGTCAGAGGAGGACCCCTCTCTCCTGTCTGCACTCAGGAAACCACATGCTTCTCTCATTCCAGGTCTCCAAGAAGTACAGTGAGATCGAGGAGTTTTACCAGAAACTGAGCAGTCGTTACCCAGAGTCCAGCCTCCCCCCACTCCCCAGGAAGGTCCTGTTTGTTGGAGAGTCCGACATCCGGGAAAGGAGAGCCCTGTTCAACGAGATTCTGCGCTGCATCGCCAAGGATGCTGAACTGGCTAGCAGCCCGGAGCTGCTGGAATTCCTAGGTACCTGAGGTCCCAAACCCCTGAGGTCTCCCCTGGCCTAGAGCTGGGCCTCAACAGGCCCTGGGCACAGACTGTCAGGAGCCACTGCCTGTGCCATGCTCTGAGGCTCCCACTTGTAACCGCCTCACTCCAGGCTTTTCCAGGGCCACCAACGCTCAGCGGCTGCAACAGGCTCTTGGAGCCCTGGCTGCCCCCCATCCACCCAGACCTGCCCTCCAGGTCCCAGGGCTCTGCAGGAAGCCCTCAGGTCCTGGCACAGGAGCTCAGGTGTAGTGAGGCACCTCGCCCCCTGTCAGTGGGTGTCAGATACCCTCTTTCTGCTCCCTTACAGGCACCAGATCCCCAGGGTCCGCAGACCTCACCAGCAGAGATGTCTCTGTCCTGGACACGGACAGCCGGGCAGGGGATGAGGAGGAGCCTTTCGACTTCTTCCAGCAGCAGGAACGCGCTGAGGGGCCGCCCACCCCAGGCCAGAAGGGTGATGATGAAGAGAAGTCCTCGGAGGAGGAGGCCCTGGACCCGCTGGGCATCATGCGGTAGGTCTCCCGATCTGGGAAGCTCCCCCTTCTGGCTGATTCCAGGTTCTCTGGATGACTCCCCCTCCCTGCTGGGAATCTGAGAAAACCCCTTCTCCCTGGTATGCCGGGGGAACTGGCTGTCTGCTCAGCCTCCACATCACCTGTGTCTTTGGGGCTCGGCTAAGTCATCACCTGCCCCTCCCTGGTCACAGGGCGGCCCCCCACCACTACTCCTTGGCTGTGCACTGAGGCCTGGCAGAGCTGCCCCCCGACAGCTCAGCTCAGGCTGCCCGAACCCACCCAGCCTGCCCAGAGACCTGGGTTCTCCATCCAGCTCATCATTGGCAGCCTGTGACCTGCGGCAGGTGACCAGAGCTCCCTGGGCTATATCTCACTGTCTGTAAAGCAGGGTATTTACCTTGACCCTGCCTCCCCACAGGGTAGGTGTAAGGCTCCCTTGAATCACATGGGTAGAGGGAACTGGTGACCTGTAAGGTGCCAACGGTATGTGATTCAAGGGGATACAGTGAGCCCAGGGTCCCTGGCCAGCGGAGTGTGCCCCCTTTATACGTATGTGCACACACCTGTACACACAAGCAAGCACATGCAGGTGCACATGGGCGCACACACACATACACTGCCTGGAGAAGAGGCAAGCCAGCTGTGGTCTTGGTGGTCCCTTCTGGGTGATATCCTGCGTCTGTCACCTTCTCTCCCGGCCCTCTACCTTCAGGGAGCTGTGCCTGAGCCCACACTGCATGGACCACTCTGTGCCGGGGGAGAGGGCTACAGGCTAGAGTTGACTAGAAAGCCAGACATCTGCTCCCAAGCCCACATCCCCGAATGGGCTGTCATTACCCTGTTTTTGCTATGGAAAACTGAAGGGGTAATCTGCCGAAGAAACATGGCTGGTAAATGGCAGAGCCAGGATTCAAACCCAGGCAGTCTGGCTCCACAGTTCAGGATCTTACACTCAGTTCACATCCCAGTACCATTATTTATCAGCTGTCTGATCCCAGGCAAGGTACTTGGCCTGTTTCTTTAACCTGTAAAATGGGATAATAGCAGCTGCTTTCAGAGCATCCGTGAGACACGGTGTGCAGAGTGCAAAGGACAATGCGAAGTAGGATCCCCCCCTCTGTTTCTTGCACATTTGGGCTAAGAGGATGTGGTGAGGGCTCTCGGTGGCTGAGTCTGTCTGTCGCCCTCGTCTCGTGGTTGGGAGGTCCTGCCCAAACTCAGCTGTGCCCAGGTACTCCCGGAGACGGGGACCAGAGCCCGAGGCCCTGCAGCACCTTGGGGCCCAGGAGTCAGGCCCCTTGGAGTTCTCCACAGCCAGCCTTGNGGGAGACGGGGACCAGAGCCCAAGGCCCTGCAGCACCTTGGGGCCCAGGAGTCAGGCCCCTCGGAGTTCTCCACAGCCAGCCTTGTCCTAGAGCCGGTGAGTGGCCCTGAGAGAGCAGCAGCAAGGGCAACCAGGTTATGTCAGGAGAAATTTGTCATAACCCCTCCCTATCAGCCTTACATAACCTACAGGCCCTTCTTGGGCTTTATTTTGGTGAGACTGGGGCTTTGTTTGAACTCTCGCTGTCGGCTGTTCTGAGCTACCACACATAGTGCCAGACTGAGCTAGACTTGGGTAGTTTGTGCCAGCCTTTGGCTGAAGGAAATGCTTAGCAAAGTGGCTCCTTTTTTGGGTAGGAAAATGCTCTTTGGGGTTGGCATAGGCCGCCTTGGATTTCCTCCTTGCTCCAGTGGAGGATTGTCAGGCGATGCGTCAGCCATCCCGGGACCACCTGTCCCCCAACACTGTCCCTACCTCTGCACTCTGGGGCCTCACTTCTGAATCCTAGGAATGCTTAGCAGCAAACGGGATCCCAGAGGCTTAAGACCTTCTACCAGTGCTTTGTTTCATGACCAGTGTGACAACAGTCAGTGCTGTCACCTTCTCAGGAATAATAACTAACATTTTTTGAGAGCTTATTAAATGCTGGGAAGTGATCAGAATTTACGTGAATAAGTATTTTGTATTCTATTTCTTTTCTTTTTTTTAAGATGCACCAGTTGCTTTCAGGTTCCCTATGGGTCTGATTTTGGACATGGAGGGCGATACCAGCACAGCCTCATTTTGTGTCTGAGAAAGTTGAAGTTTGTAGTCAAATAGCTCATCCAAATTCAGCCACAAACAGCAGAGTCAGGACCTAGTGCCACCCCCACACGGCCCCTCAGTTCCAGCCTTTCAGCAGTCCAAGAGCTGGGCAGGGCCCTAGGATTATCCCCCTTTCACAGATGGGGAGGTTGAGGACAGATGAGTGGGGCCTTGCCCAGAGCCGTGTGTGGCAGGAGCACTCGAAGTCAGATTCCCCTGGCCTCTCCCGGGACGCCCAGGTGGCCCGTTGGCGTTCTTGCACAGTGTCCTTTGGTGGGGAACGTTATGTTCTTTGCAGATGACTTACGTTTCGCATGAGTATTTCTCCATCCATGTCCTCAGTTCCTCTGCCGATGCTGCAGCCGGGCCTTCCCAGCTGCGCCGGTCCCACCCCGGGCCTGCCGGTGCCTCGCTGGGCACCGGTCCTCCCTGTCGCCGCCACGGCGGGGCGATGTTGCTCCGCAGCACATCTGCTGGAAGTCGGGAGCCGCCTGCACAAAGCCAGGAGCAGGGACCGGCCTGGCTTTTCTTTGTCTTTTAAAGCTGGTTTTGATTAGGGAAAAGACAGTTACTACACCATTAGAACCCGCTTAAGGATAGAAAAGGCCCTCGCCCGGCCCATCTGGACAGTCTGCTCTCCTGTTTGGGGGGGGTTTGTGCTCCCCTGTCCCAGGGCGATCCACATAGCTGCACACGTTAGCGCATGTGCCTATTTATTCTGTTTTTTTCACTTACTGTCCTCTCACAGTGGCTTTCCATGTCTTACATAGTTTTAGTATTTAACTTTCTATTTTTGAGACTTCACAGTTCTGAGAAAGATGAAGATCTACCATAATAGTCCTGCGTTCTGGTGGGAATACTCTGCTAGAAACATTTTTAATTACAACACGCATAATATGTGATTAGTATCTAAAAATTTAAAGCACAGTTAAAAGTCCTTTCTTCATGAAGGTATATACTTTTGGATATTCGTGTTTTATTGCCAAAATGGGATCATGTCCTATGTGCTGTTCCATACTTTGCTTTTTTTTTAAATTATTTTTTTAGCTTATCTATGGTTTTTCCAGACCAATAAATAGACTTCTACATTCTTACTCTGTGATAGTCCACAGGGACAGTGTGCTGGAAGTGGCATTGCCGGGCTCCAGCTTGGGGACATTGTGTTTTCTGTAGGTTTTTGCTATCACAAGCAATGAGGAGCTTTTTCATATGCGGGGTGGTTTTTCTCTTGAGCTTCCCTCCCAGATACCTGCCCCAGCTCCTGCTCCCAACCTGCTATGGGCCTTGCTGTGCCACTCAGAGGAGCGAAGGGCTCCTTGGGGACTTCATACCCTATCGGGAAAGCCTGTTTTTCAAACCCTGCCTGCAATGCCCCGGCCGCTTCCCAAGTGTTCAGGGAGTCCTCCCAGCCCTGGTCCCTGAGGACTCTCACCTTCCCCAGGGGACAGCCTGATTCCTGGACAAACATGCCTTCCTGTGAGTCTGGGCTTCCCACACTTGGCTCAGGGGAGGGAGCCGGCGCCCAGCGTGGGCCACGGCCTGAGTGGAAGCTGGACGCTGCTTTGGCATGCAGAGCTGGGCAGTGCTTCCTGCAGGCAGCCAGGCAGCCAGCGATGGGAAAGGAGCAGAAGGGGGACAGCAAGGATGCCAGGGCCCTACTGTGTGTGACGCTGGCATCCGTGTTCACACAAACCATGAGTGAGGGGAAGACACTGGGCTTGGACATGGGGTGGCCCACCTCATGTACAAAATGCCTGACCCTGTGCCCGAGGTCAGAAATCGGGCATCATNCAGCAAGGATGCCAGGGCCCTACCGTGTGTGACGCTGGCATCCATGTTCACACAAACCATGAGTGAGGGGAAGACACTGGGCTTGGACATGGGGTGGCCCACCTCATGTACAAAATGCCTGACCCTGTGCCCGAGGTCAGAAATCGGGCATCATCCTACATACGCCTCTTCCGCCCACCGGTCCCTTCAGCTGTCCAGACTTACTGCACTTCGCCTTCTGCTGTTCTCCCTGATCTTGTCTGCCCCTCACACAGTGGCTGCTCCCCCGCCCAGGCCCTGAGCATTTCTCCAGGGGCCACGCACAAAGCTTCCACGGGGACGGGGTTCCCAGCCATGCCCAAGTGACACCGCATAGACCCTCGCGGAATGAGGGTTTCTCGTTGCTCTGCCCGAGTCCCCTTCCCCTTTAGCCCACCCAGGCTGCTGCCACACCTCCATCGCCTCCTCTGGAATTACTGCCCTGTGTGTAACGACCGGTTTACATGCCTGTGACTGCCCGGCTGTGAGGTCTGGGGACACTGGCGGCCTCACTCATCACCCAGCGCAGGTGCTCGCATGTGGAAGGTGCTTCATGTCCTGGGTCAGAGTGGATGATGAACTGCTCACGGGGCGGCTGAGGGCCGGTGGGGAGACCAGCCGAGGTGACTGAGCCAGCTCTGGGAGGCTCGAAGGAGCGGAGGGCTTTCTAGCTACGGGTCTGTGCCTCAGCGTGATGCTGGGAGCCCCTCTTTACTCCCTTCCCCCCTCCCTGGGGGGTAGGAAGACATAAGTCTGGATAAGAGATGTACTGTCACCCTGTCTGTTCATCTCTGTTTATGAGTCTGTCCTTCCTTCCCCGCTCCTTCCTTCCGCCATCCATCCATTTTTTTCATTCGATATTCATTGAGCACCTGCTCTGAACCACGGACACTACTGAGTCCCAGAGAATGAAGTTTGGGGACCAACCCTGGGGCTTTTGGTCACCGAAGGTCCATATTTCCTGCTTGGTCGGGCAGACAGAGCATGGCCCGGGTGGCACGGGGCGAGCACAGAGGATGCCTGACTACAGCCCCAGGTGCCCTAGATTCACTTTATTTCAACTTAAGGCAGCAAAAGATCCAAAAACCTCTCCTGCGAGGAAAACAAGAACATTCATCCAGGTTGAGAGGAAAACTCCCAGACCAGGAAAGTCAGGCCTAATTTGTGCTCAGATCCAGAAAGAGGTAGAAGAAGGGAGATCACGGGAATCTTCATGGCCTCTCCAGATCTAGTTAATCACGCTGGGTCGCTCTCACTCCCTTTGGTCTTCAGAGGGTTCCCTGCTCTCCACGCCTCTGATTCCTGGTCCAGGGGAAGCCTTTTACTTCCCTGCTGCAGGGGCCCATTTGCTGGGTAGGATGTGAATTTATTTTCTCCAGGAGCTGTTCTAGGACCTGCTAGTTTCTGGGCAGTGGACCTGGGCCAAACTCTCCGCCCCTCACTGCTTCAGTCCCTGCCGGTCCCAGGAGCAGGGCCAGGCGAAGGGTAANGCTCTCCACCCCTCTGCTTTAGTCCCTGCCGGTCCCAGGAGTAGGGCCAGGCGAAGGGTAATCCAGGGACAGCAGTGAGGCCCCAGGCTGCTCCAGTGGCTCCCACACCTGACTGTCATCGGTTCCACAGGGTATCCCACACAGCTTCCCAGACTCACTCTGGGGCTCTGACTCTGGAGGTCTCGGCTGGGGCCACCTCCACTTCCACAGGTCATTAGAACTGGGCTAACTGCCTGATCAGTGAGACAAAAGGGGGAAACGTCCAGTAAGAGCAGCCGCCCTGACTCTTCAAGAGGTGTGGGGAGCAGTGGCTGAAGTTTCTGGATATGCTTGCTTTAGGATAGAGTCTGGGCTGCCTTCAGCTTTCCCAGTAGCACCGGCAGGGCCTGGGGCAGGTGCCAAGGCAGAGAAGTGTCCCTGGTGGCCTGTGACATGAGCCCATCTAGCTTGTGCCTGGAACAGAGCAAGAACAGGGAGCTGGGTGCATGGCTTCCTGGCACAGCCCCACCCCTGTCTCCACTCTCCCTCTCTCCCTTCAAAATGGGCCACCATCTCCCCGAGCACAGCAGGATCGAGCCTGTTCTCCCACCACGTCCTGTATCATTCCTGTTCGTGGGACACTCTGAGAGGAGCAGAGGACCATGCCTGTGACCATGACCGCCCTCAGTTCTAGTTGCAGTGTCCCCTGCCTGCTGTGCAGCCTTGAGCAGACCCCTAGCCTCTCTGAACCACTGTTTCTTCATCTGCCCAATGATCCTGACAGAGCCTCTGGCCAGGACTTGGGCCCTGGTTTTGGAGGTGTGCTCCGTCCCGAGACCTTCCAAAGCCAGGCGCACTGCTGGCTCTGGTGGCTTTTCCCCATCCCAGCTGGGAGCCTGAAATCCTACCTGGAGTCTAAATCCTGACCGTGGGAATGGTCGCCTCTGAGCACCTTGCCCTCCGGCCCCCTCCCTGCTGCTATTTTTATCTGCTGCTGGTTAATCTGTACCATTGTTCAGGGGCAGAACTAGCCTTTCCGCGCAGTTTAGCCACATAATGTTGCCAACATGAGCTTAGATAGTGACCTCTGTCCAGGGGAACTGCCCGGCAGGCATGCAGTCCAGTCAGAAATCCTGTTTCCAGTAAAAAGCTTGTTCTCATTTTCAGGAACCTTAAAATGGCTCATTTAGGCATTAGCAGCAGGGATTGGGTCATCCTGTGAAACTAAACCCGGGTTTACTTATTTGTGTACTGGCTGCATAACTTACGGTGACGTGAGCAGCTCTGCACACTCAGCCCGTGGACGCGCACCACCACCACCCGGCCAGGACAAAAGCGCCCCCGCCCCCCAGAGTTCCCCTCACGCCCCCTCCTGGCTTCCCACAGCAGTGTTGGGCCTAGAGCAGGGTCCCCTTAGGAGTGACAGAGCCTAGTGGGGCTCTAAGTAGCAGGGGCTTCCTGGAGGAGGTGTTTGCTCAGTGGTACTGTTTACTAGGTTGATGGAGGTTACTCCAATCAAGGGACGGGATGTATGTGGGGTAACAGAATGTTTAGCAGGGCTGCTTTCTGCTCTCTCCTGGGGCTGGGCCCTGGGGTTTGTGGCCTCAGACTGCATCCACCCCCGTTTCCGTTTCTGAGTGGCATGGAGTCTGAGGTCAGCCACCCCCACACCCCTGGAAGCGGAGCGTGTCCTCTGACCTGTGACCATGCAGGCAAGCCTGAAGCCTGAGTGGCCCTTCCTGGCTGGGGGGTCCTGTAGCAGCTGGCAGTGTAGCCCCCACACTCACCCTCTCCTGCGTGGGATATCCCAACAGTGGTGGATCCCTGGGCACAGGGCCCGGCTGCTTCCAGTGGCAGGGTCTCGCCACCTCCAATGTCAGGTCCTCGGGAAGTTCCTTCAGGACACAAGCTCAGGCCCAGCCAGCACCTGTGTGGGTCTGACCAGGCCACCTGGGCCGTCTACAGGGCTGTCCCAAGACTTTCTAACCTTGAGTTTTGTCTGATCCTCCAGCTCCAAGAAGCCCAAAAAACGCCCTGAAGTAGCTGTGAAGCCCAGACCCTCACCCCGGCTCACCCTCTTTGATGAGGAGGTGGACCCTGACGAGGGGCTCTTCAGCCCGAGCAGGAAGCTCTCCGCTCAGGGCCCCGCAGAGGACTCATCCCCCAGGGACCGTAAGTAGAGCCCCAGTGTGTTCCCGTCATTCTTGGTGCCCCTGGGTCACCCGACCAGCCTCCGTGAGTGGCTTCGCACCCGCCACATGTGAGCAGGATAGAAGTCTTTGCCTTGTCCCATTTTGACATGGTACAGACTCCACTCAGGAGATTTTCTGCTGGAGAAATCTTGTCGGAGCCGCGTTTCTCACAGCCTGGAACATTCTGGAGCTGAGTGTTTATTCTGATCCCCCCCTGGAAGGGGAGGATGGTTTCTCTGTTGCTTTGAGAAGTGTGGACTAGGATCGGCGCGGCCAGGCATGGGCATGGGTGGAAAGTGGATGCTGACTGCCCCAGGTATTCCTTCTGCAACTCTGGGATTAGGATTGTGGCAAGAGGTTTTGTGTCACCCACGTAGACCCCACTGGAGCATTCTGGGCAGAGATGGTAAAGGGAAGCTGGGCGTCCTTAGGACTTCTTCTCTCATTCCTGGGTCTGACCTTTCTTTACCCCGCCCAGGTCCTCTTCCAGGGCCGGGAATCAATGTCATCCTTTAATTCAGCCAACACTTGGTGACCACCGCTGAGGGTCAGGATGGGCCAGGACTTCCTCTGATCACTCTGCTGCTACCTTCTCCACAGCCCTGAAGTTGTTTGATGATCCTGACCTTGGTGGGGCCGTCCCCCTGGGTGACCCGTTACTGCTGCCGGCAGCATGTGAGAGTGGAGGGCCTACGCCCCGCCTGGGCCACAGAGAGGCCTCCGAGGAGCTGTTCAGGTACCACCTGTCCCCAGCGGTGCTTCTCCTGCTGAAAGTGGCCTGGGTAGAGCCACAGACCTGTCCATACGGGAGCACTTCACAGCCCCGATCTCTGGGGGAGGAGAGCCTGGCCTTGGGAAGGCAGGAGCCTGTGGGTAGGGGCTGGCCCTGAAGCAGTGATGGGCACTCGTGAGGAGAGGTGGGGCCAGCAGCTCGGCAGCTTCCAGAAAGAGAGAACATTGTGCCTATGCTCAAAGTTTAATAATTTATATAAAGAATAATTAAGTGTTCTAATGGTGAGAGCAAGTATAACGCATAAACAGGTTTGAGAACAAATAAAACCAGCCCTTGGCAGCTGCAGCTCACCTGGAGGGAGCAAGCGCAACTGCGCTGGACAGTGGCCGTCCCCAGCAGGGTCCCATCGTAGGTTTTATGAGGGGAGAGCGAGGCTTCATCTGTTGGGTGGAGGATTGGCAGGCCGTGTGCAGAATGACAGCCACTACTTGCCGTGCGTCCACAGCATGCTGGACTCTTTACACTTCACCTTCATCCTCACGACAGCCTCCTGGGTGGCTGGCATTATCTCCGTTTTATAGAAAATGGAGTGTGGGAGAGGGAACTGGCCCAAAGCTACAGCTCCCAAATGCATTGGCACCCAGGCCCGCCTGCCTGTGTCTGTCCTCGCACGCCTGCCAGGACGCTCCAAGGCTTGGAGGAGAGGCTGGGAGTCCGCCTCCCACAGGGCAGCAGCTTCCCGGGCTTCTGCTGCGCGCTCTGAGCGTGTTCAGCCCTGGGTCTCTCCGTGGCATCATCCGTGCCCCCAGAACGCAGGCCATGCCTAGCGATTTACAGGAAGCCCAGTTGTCTCTCCAGGAACAAATGTGTGGTGCTGAGGCACTGGCCCCAGGAGTCTGCCATTCGCACCCTAGTTAGCAACCTCGGGCAATTACAGTTCTCTAAGCCGCCCCCCCCCATCCTACTGTGCCTGAGTCATAGGGCAGTTTCTGTCTACATCTCCCCAAGGCCCCTGGCATCTGTTCACTCTTCTGCAGCCTCGCCCCTGGTATTCTGGCAGACTGGGAGAAGCCAGGATAGTTGCTATCTTTAGGGGAGAAACTGAGGCACAGGGAAGTGGAGTACAGGGTCAGGTCGAGGGGCGTGGCAGGACCCGGTGGAGCATGTCCCATCCAGGGAGCCTCTGCTGTCTCCAAACTCAGCATGTCCCAGTGGGGCAGTTCCGGTGGGACCTTTCTGGCAGAGTTGATTGTGCATTTATGACTCCGGCACTCTCAGACCTGTGGTCCAGAGCATCCTTGTGGGAGTGTTCAGAGGTGTTACTTCAAAGGGGCTCTGTGGCCAGACGGCGAGGGCAACACCGGTGTCAAGCAGGACTTGCACGAGAGTGGCTCAAGGGGGAAACACCACGCAGCCTTTCACTGCATTCGTGGGACCTATTCTAGCCAAGGCCCAAGAGCCCAGGTGGAAATTGAGCGCTTGGAAAGGGATGCCCATGCCGTCGGCCACCTGCCCCCCCGCCCCCGAGTGAAATGCCCCATACCCACCTCAGAGCCAATCCGGCTTCTGTTAGTTCAGAATCAGTGCTCTGCCAGGCAGTGTAAACCCTGAACTCTGACACAAGCTGTCAGCTGCTGCTCTGTTTCCCCAGGGGCCCCTGTCTGAGGATAACTCAGTCCCTCTGAGCTTTTTGTGGGCACTGGGACTCCAGTGAGGATGCGGAGCCAGCACCTGCCTCAGGGTTGCCCAGGAAGGGCTGCCACATGGAGGCAGCCAGGCACCTCTGAGCTGAGGTTGCCAGGAGCAGCCTGTCCTTGGATAGTGCATCCTGGGATGGCCTTGAACCAAGTTGGGGGGTGGGTGGTGAATGGATCGAATGGGTCTTCCATTGTGCACCTGGCCCCCAGGAATGGAGTTCCCCCACTAGAGGCTGGCAGCAGGAGGGCAGAGTCCGGCTGTGGCCTCCTTCCTTAACTGCCTTCTGGCACCTGGGACTGGTTCTATGTGACCGTTAGTTGCTGCATCCTCTAGTTACGCCCCCCACCCGGCTTTGAGAGGCTATTAGGTCCAAGGCCAGGGTGGAATGTTAGTGCGCACTGGCTGAGGCCAGCTCCAGCCCTTGGTGGGCTCTGTCCAGCACCCGTGTGGCCCACCGAGGGCACTGTGGGCGAGCAGACCTGCCTGAGATGACAGCTAGCGTGTGGCAGTGCCTGAGTCGGAACCAGGATGCCTGACTTCAGAAGCCAAGCTCTCGTCTAGACCAAGTTCAGCCAGAGGAAGGATGAAGGAGGGGCTCTGGCTGTTGTGGGGTGGGGTCTGCTCCCCTGCAGCGTGCTCCTGTCCCAGGAGGTTATGCTCAGGGAGTCTCCCTCTGGTTCCCTAGAGTCGAAGAGGACTTGGACCAGATTCTGAACCTGGGGTCTGAGACCAAACCCCAGCCCCTGCCTAAGCCCAAGCCGCCAGTGGCAGCTAAGCCAGTGCTACCCAGAAAGCCAGCTGTTCCCCCCAGAGCGGGCCCATCTGAGGCCGAGGCCGAGGCCGAGGCCGGGCAGCAGAAGCAGCAGAAGCAGCAGCAGCAGATCCAAGCCATGGACGAGCTGGACATCCTACAGTACATCCGGGACCACGACGCGCCTGGCCAGGCCGCTCCCAGCCTCTTCTGACCCTCCCTCCCTCCCCTGTGCTGGCCCTGGGCCGGCAGCCCCTCTCCGGTGGGGGGGCCTGTGTGAGGTGGGGACTGTGCCTTGCAGGCCAGGACCCTTACTCTTGAGGGAGGGAGGGTGGAAGCCCAGGTCACAGGACCCCTGTCCTACCTTATTTCTTTATCTCTGGCCTTTGGGGTCATGGAACCCTCTAGGGTGCAGAGAGAAGGTCACCATAGGAATTGAGCCCAGTTGTCTTAGCCACATGCATGTGGAATAGAGAGCATGTGGGGCCCCCAGGATGGACTGAGACTTGGGGAACCCAGGGAAGCCCTGCTCAGGGCAGGGAAACTTTGTGTCTACTTGTGCCCACCTTCTCTGCCGCCTCAGCACAGGAGGGAGGGTGTGCCAACCTGGGTGGGGTTGGGGGGACCAGAGCCTCTGGGCAGCATGGCTCCTGGGCCTGTGGGCTCTGGGAAGGTCCCCCAGGAGAGGGATGCCGAGTGGGTCCCTGGGAGAGCTGGCTGGGTGGGGTGTCCCCGAGTCGCCTCTGAGTACCAGGTGCTAAGCAGGGTACTTTCCCGTGTGCCCATTCTCTGGGATATGGATGGCCTAACAAGCCCAGGTCTTCCTTTCTTCCTTTCCCAGGAAAGACCTGGCCAGACCATGGCCCCCTTGGGCCTCTGGCCATAGAGCCTGTGCCAGCCCCACAGCTCTGAGCAGTGACCCCAGTACCTGCAGAGCTCTGCGCGGCCCTGGGCCTGGCGAGTTCCTCCTGTGCAGAGTGGGCTCGGGCAGAATGTGCCCCAGCTGCTGCTCCGAGGGCCTAGTCTGTCCAGCGGCAGGTGCTGCCAGGCCTTCCCTGTCCTCGGGGTCTGGACTTGCTCACCCGCCTTCACAGTGGGAGCCGCTTTCCCAGGGAGAAGGAGCCTAGTGCCCACAGGGCCAGTGCCTTAGACTTCTCCTGGACCCCACGCCCAGCACACAGTCCTGGCCTGGTGTGGCGCTCAGGAAATTCTCAGTGAGTAAATGATGTTTAATAGAGAAAAAAAATGCCTTCTTATGATACATTCTTCATGTTCAGACCTAGTTTTAATGAAACACAAGTTTTTTATGAAATGCAACCACTCTTACCCTTTGGCTTGTCCTGTCTGACAGAGGCATTGGAAGGGGCTTTAGGACAAGTAAACAACCCTGAGAGAGGCCCCCTGCCCTGGGGCCAGGCGCTTGCTGCCATCAGAGCCTCTAGACCCCATCCCTGCCTTGTGCCAGGACCCATGGGTGGTAGGAGCGCTTCGTCTGATCTGTTGTGCCTCTCACTCCCCCTCGTCAGCTGTCCAGTCCTGAAAAGGCTATCCCTACCCCCCACCCGTGCCAGAGTGAGGGGAAACAGGCAGTTCTGGGGTCTGAGATCTGAATTCCTCTTTGCCTTACCCAGGCTCCCAGGGCCCTGTCTCCCATGCCCTGAGCTGGCCCTGGGACAGCCTCAGCCCCGGCTGCTAGCATGCCACTCCTGTTCACTGCCAGGCCTTCCCGCCCCACGCAGCCCCGCGTGCTCCCTCACAGAGTGTAGGTGATGGGCTAGCTCTGCCTGGGCTCTTTCCTGCCCCGTTCTCAACTCTGCACCCATCCCAGCTCCCTGCCCGTCCCTTACTGCCTCCCACCACCACTACCTCCCACCAACGTGTAATGTGGGAGCAGAGGGCGCAGCTGGCAGGTGCCCAGTGCCCATGGTGGGCTGGCCCTCTGGTGGGGGTCATAGACAGAACCTGCCACTCTGGCATGAGTTCATCCACTGTGACCCAGCCTCCTCGGTGGCCTGGTGCTCTCTGGACACCTCAGCGAAATGTGTGCCTCCCAGATACTGATGCTCAAACCGCGGCTGGTTTTCACCACAAGTCTGTAACCTGCTGGCGAATCACTGGCACCCAGTCATGCAATAAAGTCCACGTCAGTGACTTATTCCAGCATCTGTTAGTGGTGGTCTTTTCTGCACCGGGGATAATGGGGGACAGTAGGGGGGGGTCTTTGTGACAGTGAGCTCAACAAGGGGAGCTTCCCTTGCAGGACCTGGGGCCTCCCTGCTGCTGTTCAGTAGGGTGAGGTGAAGGTAAAGGGAGCATCCCTCTGTGTAAACTGAGGCCCAGGGGCCCAGTCCCAGGGGAAGTCAGTGGGTCAGTAACTGTTCAGCCAGGACCTGTTAGGGACAAGGACACTTCTTTCTCCAGACCTCGCCTCCCATCTCTTCTGAGTGGGGACTGGTCCAGGAGGTCCCTTGACACCAGGCAGCCCTGTCCATCTGTGCACACGCCTGTCCTGGCCTCACACCCCTGCCTGAGCTCAGATTCTGAGGTTCTGCTTGGTGCCCAGGACCCCGAGGTGAGCTGACATCCCCGGGAGCCAGGCAGGCCGTGCAGGGGGCAGTCTCAGCCTGCCCTGGCCGCCCCCACCTCTGGGCTCTGCATCTTGTAGCTAAGCTCAAATTGGGGTTTTGGCTCCTGAGGACAAGCAGCTGGGTCCTTCTGAGGAGGACCGCTCAGCGCATGAGTCTGGAGCTGAATTCACTGCAGCAGGTAAACAAAGGTTTAATTGGGGGCAGCAGTGTTTGTTTTGAAGCTGTTGTGAGCGCCGAGGAGCGGATGTGCCGTCTGTGACAGGGTCCCCAGCATTGTTCCTCTCAGGAAGACGGGAATCCGGCCAGTCCTCCTGGAAAGTCCCGATCAGGGCACCTATTCTGGCCAGCGCCAGCCTTCAAAGCTCTGCTGTCCTGTGATCATATCAGTGCAGGGCCTCTGGAACCCAGGTCCCCTCTGCCTGTGCTGGGGGCTGTCCTCACCCCGGACACAGACCCATAGCAGAAGTCCAGGCACTCTCTCAGGGGCCTCGTGGCCTTAATGCCAGGCTGCCACCTTGGCATTGTGTCTGTCCACTCTGTGCAGTGCTTCTTGACCCGGTGTCAGGCTCTGGTTTGTCGCCACACCTGTGATCTCCAGGGAACACTGACGTGGAAAGTTGTGCTCAGTTCTCTAGCTCGCCCACTGTTGAGCTGAGTGTGTCCTGGTAGAGAGAAGGGCAGCAGAGCTCTGTCCCCTGGATGCTGGTCCGTGTGTGTGTGTGTGTCTGTTTTTCCTTTTGGTTTAATAGTCACTTTGCTGATTTCTTCTAAGACGTGCTCTCAGTCCCAGAGGGCGGTTCTTTTTAGATTAGAAAGCAGAACAGCTGACGTCTTGTCCACCTGTTTCTCAGACAGACCATCAGGAGCAGCAGAGAGGCTGAGCTCGGCCCAGGGCTACCCCAGGGCCTCGTTTTACATCCCAGACGGTCTAGGACTCTTAACTAGGCTCTGTCTGGTCAGATGGGTAGTCCTGGGATTGGAACCCTCTCCTCACAGGCTATAAAATCCATGGTCATGGGAATGAAAAATTCTGCAGCACCTTGGGGGGGAAATTTGGCAGTTTCTTAAAAAGTTGAATTTACATTTACCATACGACCCAGCAATTGCACTCCTAGAAATATACCCAAAGAGCCCGGCAGGGCGTGGCTTAGTGGTTGAGCAGTGACCTAGGATCCAGGTGATTGGGGTTCGATTCCCGGTCAGGGCACATGCCCGGGTTGTGGGCTTGATCCCCAGTTGGGGGCGTGCAGGAGGCAGCCAATCAATGACTCTCTCATCATCTATGTTCCTCTCTCTCTCTCTCCCTCTCCTTTACTCTTTCTGAAATCAATATATATATAAAGAAATATACCCAAAGAGAAATGGAGACATGTCCACCCCAAAATGTGTACACAAATGCTTCTTTCATCATGGCCAGAAAGTGGAAACACCCACACATCCACCAGCTGCTGTGTGGGGTGGCCACACAATGGAATATTATTCAGCCATCAAAAGGAATGGTTCACATGCTACAACGTGGATCAACCTCAAACACACTGTGCTGCGTGAAAGCAGCTCGACCCAAAAGACCGCATATTGTGTGATTCTATTTATATGAAATTCCCGGAAGAGGCAACTCTGCAGAGTCAGAAAGCAGATCCGCGGTTGCCTTGGGCTGGAGATGGAAACAGCGATTACAAACGGACACAAACGACCTTTCTTGAGGGGCAATGAAGATGTCTAAAATTGGCCTGTTGTAATGTTTGCATAGTTCTGTAAATTTACTGAAGACATTTAATTGTACACTTAAACTAGGTGCATTTTAAATTAAATTATGCCTCAATAAAACTGTTAAAATTAATGACGGGGCAGTGAAACAAACAAAAATCCATGGGCAACAGTGTGGACGAGCTTCTGGCTCTCCAGCCTGCTAGCTGGGCGGCCCTGGGCCAGCTCCCCTCTCGGTGCCTCAGTTGCTGACCTGTAAAAGGGAGATAACCGCACCTGCCTCGTCAGGGTAGTTATCAGGAGGACGTGAGTTAACATGCGCAAAGTGCTTTGATCAATGCCGGGTGCACAGCACACGTATGTGAATAACAGTTAAAATTCTGTTGAGTGTCACTCGGCGGTTTATTGCGCTGTAAGGGATTCCAGGGTCCGAGAGCTGCCTCTCCCTCCAGCAATGACAGCCAGACCTTTGGGTGGGATGGGAGCGGTCGCCCTGGCTCTACGGAGGGGAATGCGGGTGAGAGGAGAGGCTGTGCCACTGAACTGCTGCCACCTGGCTTCCCCGAGCCCCAGTCTGTTCACCTGCCCAGTGGGCTAACGGCCTCCGCCGCACGTGGGGCGGGGACCATGGGAGATGCACGTTTAAAACCAGCTGAGGTCCACAAAGGGCCCTGGCTCTCTTCGCCACTCCCAGTGGGCTGAGAAACGGGGGGACCAGCCATCAGTGGTCCTGCCTGGTGCCTGGGGGCTCTCGGATGTGACCGGGGGCCTGGAGCTGGATGGCCGCGGAGGTCTGCAGGAGGGAGGGTAGGTGGAACATGCTGGAAATGAGCCTCTGGAAAAGGCCTCATCCTGATGAGGATTAATAATAACACCAGCGCAGCAGGAAGCTCGTCCCAGCACGCCCCACGCTCCACACCAAGTGCAGCTCTCCCAGCCCCATGGAGACAGCAAATAAACACATGCTTCTCTCTCTTGGCCCCTGACCTTTTGTTCAGTGACCGACTGGACGGGGCGAGAAGGGACGGTCAAGTGGAGAGAGGTTTCTGGCAGTGCTGACAGCCCGGTGGCCATGCCGGGGGCACTGGTGCCACTTCCTCTTTCTGCCTTGGGGCTCCTCCAGCTTCCTCAGCATCCCCCTGGGCAGGACTGGGGGCAGGGAAGGGGGGGCAGGTGGCGTGGGGGTGGCGGCGAGGGGTGTTCCTTCACTCTCCTTTGAAAAGAAACCCCACCCACAAAGACATGTGCAAATATTCATAACAGCCCTGCCCCCAGGCAGAGGAAACCACCCAAATCTCCGTCAGTGGTCAACAGGTGCATCCCTGCAGCTCCTACTACTCGGCAACGGAAAGGAAAACCCTAGGAGCTGTAATGGCGCGGATGGATCTCAAAGACAGTCTAAGTAATAGAAGCCAGACCCCCAAAACTCTACACTGTATGATTCCATTTATATGAAATTCTAGAAAAACCAAAACAAAACGCTGGAGACAGAAAACAGATTAGTAGTTGCCGGGGCTGGGCCTTGGCTGGGGGAAGGGGAGATTGACGACAAGGGGACCTTTGTGAGGTGACAGAAATATTCAAAAATGTGAGCATGACTATAAACAAAACTCATTGAACTTTACACTTAAAATGGGGAAGGTTTATTGTACGTAAATTGTGCCTCAATGAAGATACTGAGAAAGGAACCACAGTACAAAGCGAAACATCCTCTTACCGTAGGACCCAGTCATTGTGCCCCTTGGTATTTACCCAAATGAATTAAAACGTATGTTTGCATAGAAACCTGGATGTTTATAGCAGCTTTATTCATAATTTTCAAAACTTGGAAGCAACCAAGTTGCCCTTCAGTAGTAGGTGAATGGATAAATAAACGGTGGTGCTTCAGACAATGGAATATTGTTCAGCGCTAAAAAGAAATGAGCTGTCAAGCCATGAAAAGACCTAGAGGAACCTAAAATGTGTATCACTAAGTGACAGAAGCCGACCTGAAACGGCTACACACTGTCTGATTCCAATTATACGACATTCTGGAAAAAGTAAAACTATGGAGACACTGAAAAGATCAGTGGTTGCCAAGGCTTAGCGGGGAAGGAGGGATGAGTAGGTGGAGCATGGGGCATTTTTAGGGCAGTGAAAACACTGTGTATGATACTACAGTGTCATATGCATTTGTGCAAACCCACAGAACATACAGCCCCTAAGTAGACTGTGGACCTAAGTAGACTGTGGACTTGGGTAATGACGTGCTGATGGAGGTTCAGCAGCTTGAACAAATGTGCTGTTCTGGTCAGGGGTGTGATAATGGGGGAGGCTGTGCATATGTGGGAGCAAGGGAACTCTGCACTTTCTGGTCAGTTTGGCTGTGAACTTAAAACTGCTTTCAAATATAATGTTTATTTAAAGAAAACGAAAACAAAAAACCACAAGGAGGAGGCTCTTAGCCCAGAAGACACTCTGGGCTCTGAGATGCCAGCCTTGCCTCCCCCGAGCACGCCCGCCTTCAGTAATATCCCCCCAGGCTCCAGTGTGCCCTGGGCTCCAGCTGAGGCTCAGAGACATTCAGCTGCTGGTGGAAGGGCTTCTGGTCCCGCAGGGCCCTGGTGTGGGGCAGGGCCCAGCCTCTGTCTCCCAGAACAGTCTCATCCTGCTGCAGCTTTGGACAGAGGGGCCAGGTTTGGTTTTGTCCCATGGCCACGTGAGGGTGGACGTGCTCCGCGTGACTACATGCTGGGAGATTGCACATTTCCTTTCATTTCCTCTTATCTAGACCTAAGGCTTATTCTCTCATAACTTTAAAAATGACCTTCATAGTTGTGGTTATAGTCTCTTCTTCCTTTATAAGGGGTTTTTATCTCTTTTTTTTTT